GCATTTGTATTCCCAACACTTAGTACAATGCCTGACACCTGGTAAACACATAATAAATGCTTCATTTATCTATCTATCTATCTATCTATCTATCTATCTATCTATCTATCTATCTATCTATCTATCTACAATTTCTTCATTTGTAAAATGACTAGGTTGGACAAGTTTATATGATTATAGATCCAAAGGTAGGAGTTTTAGGGACCATCTAATACAACATTGTCACTTGGCAGATGAAAAAACTGAAGCTCAGAGAGGGTAGATGCCCAAGGTCACAGAGGAACTGTCAGTAATGGGACTTGAAGCCAGGTCCTTTAGCTCTAGAGTTAATGTTTTTCTGTCGTGATACTGTGGAGTAGTAGCTAGGCATTGTGGATAGACAGCTGGCTTTGGAACCAGAAACCCCTGGGTTCACGTCTGATCTTTGACACACACACTGGCTGGGTGATCCTGGACTAGTTCTGTAATCTCTTGGAGTTCTAGGCAACTCCCTAAGACAATCAGTTTCAGAACAGATGTTGACCTGCATTGGTGGGAGTATCCTTATTGGGGATTTCTTTTCACCAAAAAAAAAAAAAACCCACAGGTTCAGTCTGTCTCTCCTTTGCTAACACAGTCTTTAGATATTCAGCTCAAAATCCTATAGCCAGACGTCATTCATGCTACAAATGTGTAGAGCAAAATGTGTCTCACCCAGGGAGAAATACATTTACTCTCTAGTTTATAGCTTTAAGAGCAAGAAAGTTCTTCAGAGTTCATACATGTAGTCCAATCTGCTCATTTTACAGATGAGGAAACTGAGGCCCAGAGAAGGGAAGTGACTTGCCAACACTATAATAATTGGTCTAAAAAGATGTGGCAGGCTAAAAAGTTACTGTGATCTTGGGCTGCACGAAGAGGAGAGTAACTTCCAGGAATAAAGAGGTGATAATGCCTCTGGTGTGCTGATGGGCCTGGGTCCTTCAAGGCTGTGCTAGTGGAGCTCAGGTTCTGCCAGGCTTCTCGCAAGCCTGAAAGACTGAGTCTGACCTCAGTCATCAAGCGAGTCTGCTGAGTAAGGACCAGAGAGCTTCATTAGCAGTAGGCTGATGATGAGTTTTGGCCAGGAAAATCCGCTAATGCTTGAATACGTTCTAGCCAGAGTCATCCTAAGGAAGAGAGTCAGTGGGGCACAGTGGAAAGGGTACAGCATGGGACCTTTTGTGCCATGGGGCTACACTCAAATCTTGGCTCCCTCAGTTACTACCTGGGTGACCTTGGGCAAATCTCTTCCTCACCTATAGAATGAGGGAGTTGGATTACACCTGCCCCACCTCCTCATACGATCATGTATGCCTCGGAGCAATGGTGTGCTGGTAAATGTTCAATAACCTACCCCCCTAATGTAAGCAGGGCACATTTGTAAGTTGAATCTGGAGCATTCACATTTTCTCCATCTGTTTTTTAAGTCTCGACCAACAACCAAACAAACCAAGCTCTGATTTGTAGCATTTGCCAGTTTCCAGGGTGTAAATGCTCACATTGAAAATTTAACAATCGGCTCTCTCCAGTCTGTACCAGCCTGCTCCAGCACACCCCTATCTGGGAAGAAGCCAGGAAGACTAAGGCTCTAGTTGCAACCCCGTGTTCTGACCTCTGCTCTCTAGTGGGACAGTGACACATTTATTTTATTTTTTCAAATCTCTGAACTACAGGGTCAGGCACGAGGCAAAGTGCTGTTCTCATGAAACTGCGAGTCACCCCGGAATAAGGGTGGGGGACCAGAAGAGTGGAGTGGAGAGGGAGCTAACACCTGTGCTCAGCAGGTAAAACCAACTCGGCAGCACCTGCTTAGTGGGTGGTGTGTGTGTGTGTGTGTGTGT